TCATCACTCTGGTAGCTACAGCTGTCTCGGCCAGCTCTACTCATCACACTCATGCACAGTCTGGCCCTCCCAAACGCTATTACTGTAGCCCCACCTTGACAACACCCTGTGAGTAAGTGTGTGAGAGCACAACTGAGTCACACACCGCATCGGGCTGGTGGGAGGGTCGGGTGAATGAGTGCATCCGTGTAAGATGGTGGCGAGAAAAAAATAGAGCCGAGACTGCAGAGCACAGACAGGAGGCGGGAGGTGCACTGAAATAACCTGACAACAACAAACACGCTGCGTACAACAAGCAAGACCAATTTAGCCCTAAAAAAAACAACACTCAACTTTTCTCCTGCCGCTCTAACTCTTTGGGTGTGAACACAAACATTTTCAAATCTGATTGCATAAAGTGTAGAACTGCTCCGTTTGAGATCGATAAACGCTCACAGATGAGAGCACATACATGTACACACAAGACCTCCCACGGGCCACGCTCTCGGCTGACCTCTCCTCACCAATCTGAGACACTTAAAAGTGTTTAACCCCATGGACGCCGGCGCTGTGCACAGCTCGCGCTGTGCTGTGCGGTCTCTGGTGAGTGCTATTGATCCTAATAGTGAGGGGAATGGAGCAGCTTATCCATTACGGTTGAGTGAGTCTGTCGCCTGTCTCCCGCTCGCAGCAGACGGAGTGGAACAGGCAGATGACTGGGAGGAGAAAGACGGAGGTGGCAGACTGGGAGCGGGGAGGAGGAGAGAGGGTGGGATGCTTCATAACTCCTGGACAATGGAGGAAAGGATGAGTACAAGATGGGAAGAGAGGGGAAACAAAAGGAAAGAGAAAGGAGAAGAACTGAAGTGGCAGCGGAGGAGGAGAGGAGGTAAGTTTAGTACAAAGCACCTTTCAGGAGCAGAACATAACTAAATGCATCACAGGAAAAAGAAGCCAATATACTGACGATTAAGAAATAAATAAAAAAATACAGAAAGGAAAGTGCAGACAGATAGTTCTTGACCTGCTTTCTAAAGTGTCCACAGATCTTAGGTCCAAGGGAAAGAGGTCCAGGTTTCAAAGGTTTCCAATTTTAGGAGCTGCAACCTCAAACACAGTCTCCAAAGGTGGAAGTGGTTATGGTGACTCAGTCATAGCACACTCCATTATCGAGGGATAGGCTGTTTGTTATGAACTTTCATGGCGGTTTATATTTAAAGTTACAATATATAACATTTCCATATTGAAACAGCTACAAATGCAAGACCTATTTTCTATATGTAGTCGGGTTGTGGTTTTAGTCATTGGGTCTGTTTGTTTTAGAGAGGACGAGACCTCTGTGGATAATTCGGTTCCTGGTAAAAACCTCCTGAACACTAAAGGAATCCTAACTGGGAGAAGCTGACTGCAATGACAACAATGGTAGTTGTTGTCCCATGATCACACCCTACTTCACAACATCACCAAACTTTGTCTTTTGTTATTGTTTTGATGTGAGAGACCCCCTAGAAGCAGAAATTACATACTGTACATTAAATGTTTTTAAGTGTATCTATTAATATTTTATTGAGCAATTTTCTTATTGCTATTGATAAAGTACCTACTGCTGATACATACTGCTATTGTTCTACTGCCCAGGAATAACACAAAGCTCTGCATAAAGTCACACATAAAGACATAAAGAGCGAGCAGAGGAGATGTATGGTAAGAAGTCAATATTAGATCACTAGGATAACAAATGGGCTGAAAGTATACACACTCAAACACAAACACACACACACACGCAAACTGTGATGGATCAATATTATTCTTCATCCTTCTCAGGGTTTCAAATCATCACTCTTCCTCTAAGCACTCAGGACACAAATGTGCATTTGCACACAAACATTAAAAAATCCACACACTTCTAACACACACTCTCCAATCACGACTTTAAATCAATGGCCAATCTCATTCCTGAACACGCTGCCCCATGATTCATTTTCATCTAGAAGATGCATTATGGGTAGGGAATGGAAGGAACCCATCCAATTTAGCCCTGACACAAGTCAAGTCCTCTGGATCATGACGTCTTAATAACCATTAACTGAGCAGTCTTTTCACTTTTTGTTTAAGCAGAGAGCGGGCAGTTCACCCCCCAGAGTATTTTCCTCTTTTATTAAGACAGAGTGAAAACCTGAAGGGATACAGAGGAGCCAGAGGAGGGTCTGGATCTATTTGATCTAAAGCTGACTGGAGTACAGCACTTCCTTAGGCACATGTTTCCACAACTACACCATCTCTGGCTTCAGACTAGTACTTCCAATTCACAATTTGTAGAACAGCTTTAGTACGTTTCCTCGACAGCATCTTTCATGAAGCACTTTTTTGGGGCCGAAAAGATGAATCCACAGTTTTTATCTAAACGCACTCTTTTTTCTTTGTATGAGACCTTTAAAGTAATTAATTCAAACACTTTGAAAACACACTTTTTACACTTTTACACTGGCTGCCCCCAAATGTGAGGCATATGAGAGACAGGATGCAATTTACAGACTGATATTCCCTTTTTTTTCATGCAGTTTTTATCCTTTTTCTTCTTTACGCTTTTTGTCCTATATATCTAATCACAGGTTCTTTGTATCTAATCATACTCCTCTGACCTGTGGAGTTCCTCAAGAGTCAATCTTTGGACCTCTCCTTTTCTCCCTCTACAAGTTTCCTTCAGGGCAGTTTGACTGTGTCTCTTATCCCTGTCATGAGCCCTGTAAGTCATGTGGTGAACTTCTTTAATGGTATCCTTTTATGCCCTTTGTTTATAGAGAACTTCCATCATATGCAACTCTTGTGTAATGTAAACATCTGTTTAAATTCAGCGGATGAAAATTACATATCTAAAATTAGTTTGTGCAGCACTGCATGTGTCGCAGATGGGGGCTAACAGACTGTGTGTGGTGAGCACAGTATGTATGGTTTCATCTCCTGCAATTCCTGACAAGAACATTAATGTAATTTCTTTAAGCAGCAAAATACACTGGCATATACAGGACAGAGAAATGAAAGAGAGAGAATAAAGCTGATAAAAAGGATTAAAAAAAAATGAAGGGCATAAGTCAAATGAGAGGGAGGAGGAAGAGATGAGGCAAGATGTAAAGCGGTACAGACAGTGAGGAAACGAAAGCTGTTGATCAAAGAATGGTCGCGCTGGCGCTGGTGTTTGTAACCTTGAGCTGCCGCGTCAATTAAATGTACTTGAATTTATGAGGCAGAGTTAGGTACAAAGAATTACAGGAGGGAGGAAGATGTGGAGAGACACCCTATTACACTGCGCTGAAAAACACTGGCAGGCAGAGGTCACTAAATCCTGCCTGAAAGAAAAGGTGAGGACAAAACTGTAAACTAGAGATTGACAAGAGAGGAGAGGAGAGGAGAAAACGAAAAGTAATTAAAAGACAAAAAAAGACATAGCCTGGGTCTAACAAGAGTACTGGGTTGCAGTGCCTCGGGTGCAGCTGTCTCGGTGCATGGAGGAACACATTACAAATGAATAGTGCGATACTGGCATTTGAGGTTTGGAGAGTGTGTTCTCTAATTAAAAACTACCCAAAGGGCCTATCTCCTGCTATGAAACAAGTCATTCTCCTCCTCCCACTCTCACATCCATCAACTCTCTGCACCCCCCCCCCCCAGCTGCCTTCATTCTGGCCTGGCCTGGTAGAGGTTTTAACACACTTGGAAAAAAAGAGCTGATTTGGAATAGACGAGAAAGTGGAACGAGACAGAGTGGTAATGAGCTTAGCCACGCCGCAATCCTGCTGGTGTTTTTGAGGCAATGAGTCAACCACAACAGACAGACCAAAAAGATGCTGAAATTCATAACATAGGATGCACAAGGTGTGTTGAGCACAAGGGGCAAGCCAGAACCATACACTCTGAGCTATAGTGACAAAAATCATCAATCAACAAACAATTGAATTAATCGCCAACATCGTGTTTGCCATGCTTGTGCATGTAACTTGGTGTGACAAAGTTTACAATACCTTGTATGTGTGTGTGTGGGCCATCTCTGTATAGCACTGAATCCAGCTGCGGCAGGCAAAGCCATTATTCAACTGTGGTGGCATATCCAATGTAAACGCTGTGCCAAATTTACGCCTGCTAATTTACCGTACACAGGCATTTTAAATCCTTTGACACTCCCAAAAAAGATCTCAAAGAACGTTTGGAAAAAACCTTGTTTCTTGCGGGAAATTCGCTTCCTCTATTTTTTGTCTAAAAACTAAAATCAATCTTTGTCCAAGCACGTTTTAGATTAGACAAAGTTAAGCTATGTAGTTCCTTGTCCCCCAGTGTCACAGTAGTCTTGGTCCCAGGTGCTTGGAAATTGAAGCACGCCTGTTGAGTTTTTCATTGTTTGATTTAAAAATGCTAAAATAAGAAAGTTTCTGGTGCCTTTACTTCTAGACACAAGTCCACTTACCTCTATTATTATGCTGCCTGAAAGAAACTGTGTCCTATTGTAAGATTTTATTTGCTAATTATTCATCTTAGATTAAGGTACACATTTTTAAATTTAGCTCAATAAAGTGACCAAAATACTTATTTTAATAAAGTCTAAATGAAATAACTAAACATTTTTTTCTAGTTTAAAGGCTTATTTCGAATGGAGCATTTTTCGACATGTGGGATATGGCGAAATTATTCAGGTTTTATTTACCTATTTTTTATTTATTTTATTATTTAGTATTCTTTCAACATGTATAAACACATTCGGAATATGCACTCCATTCAGGGCAGTTTGCGACACACACATGACTACGCCAACCTTTTCAAAGGTGGTTGAACGAATGTTGGAATGGTTGAACGGGTACTGGTATGTACTGAAGTCAGAAAGGGTGCATTTTATTACTCATGGCTTCAACTTTTCATTTGTAAGAGGAAGATATTTCAATTTTCAAACTGAGATGGCGGATCAGTCAATACATACAGTATGTGTACATGGGGCTTCTGTGTGTATGCACAGTACAGTATGTGACACTCACTCCACTGGGGGGTTGATGTCCTCAGCTTTTGTCTCAAAGAAGCGCAGCACCTCCTCGCTCTGAGAGATCTGAGGGGGGAGTCGCACCAGCGCCTGAGGGGAGAGACAGAGAGAGAATTAGGGGTTTAAGAGACGACAATTGAGATTAGTCATGTTCTTTACTTGTTGAATTTCCAAATGTCTTAACGTGACAAAGCAGCAGAAAATTATCACCCACCTCTACAGTTCCCCTTTGGCTTCACAGAGCCTTTTAGTCCCTTAAAGCTAACTGTTCTCATTTTTTTGGCCTGCAACTCTCAACAACGTCATCTCTAGACAAAGCAGACAACGGTCTTCAGAGAAAAGGCTCTGATAAACCCACGGTATGCTACCTGTCCAGCACCAAAGGGCACACAAAGTTAACCTAAAGCAGCCAAAGTCAAACAGCCAGATAGTTTACTCAGATACAGTTTTACTGCCACTGTTACTTTTAAAAATAACTGCTTAAATCTCAATGCAGAGCTGTAGTTGAAAGATAGCCAAGACAGATGCATGTTTGGTTTTAATGACTGGGTTAGCGAAAAGCAGCTGATTTAAAAGCCGTTGCTTCTGTCTCCATCGAGTGAAATCGGACCTTTTCAGTGGTGTAACTAGGAAACTGGGCATTCTTGTCCTCATAGATCCTAAGACTGTGATGTTTGTATCTGCCACCTTCCCACCAACACACAGCTCCACTTGCTCAACGGAGCAGCTCGCAGTCAAAGAATTACCTCTCAGTGTGCATTCTTACTCGCTTATACATCTACCAAAGGGTAATGACCCATCCTTCCTCCTCTGTTCTCTCCCTGTATGTTCAATCACAAAGCCCCACTACAGTCAAAGAGAGGATCATATGTCTGACTAACCATCTATATTTAATGATCTGGCCAGCTCGCACCTAAGGTATAGCTCACGTACAGTACCGGGGTGCTGGACCGCCAAGATATGCGACGATGTACAGCGTAGGCTTTTCATTTAAATGGGCACAGTCTGAGCTACCTTCATATTTCATTCATCGGATCCTATATTATTGTAAGAGCCTTGGGGTTGTGATTGAAGAGGCCGCGTGTCGCTGCGCACGTTCCGCTGGCTGGACTCTGCATCCCACAATCTCCAGAGAGCAGATCCTTCGAGAACACGGGGTAATTACTGTTCCTCTCTGTTGTTTGCCTCATAAACGGAATGTAGGAAGTAAACAGTTCGGCACACGCCAACGCCTGGCGAACAAAAGCAGGCTCACTATAGCAACTGTAAACATTAGAGCGCTTCAGGTTATTTGGGTAATGAGGAAGCCTTTGCCTGTGCTGAGCTAAGGATCAGGTTAATTTCAGATGTGTGCAGTTGCTTTTTGGTTTTTAAACTTCTTTTGGTCCCAATTAGTGAGCTGATACTGTGGCTAACCTCGCCTAATGCAGGCCAACAGTGCTGCTCACTAATTGCGTGAGGCAAACACAAGAGCCCGAGCTTCAATTAATGCACTCTCTCACTACTGCCAGCGTGGCTTTGCGCCAAGAGGAAGGAAGGAAGGAAGTGGGGAGGGCATGACAGAGGAAAGGATCTGAATCCGGGATAAATCAAAAACAACTAATAAGAGAGAACAGGAAGTGATAAGGCCAGTCCCCCTTGAGTTAGAGGATGACGAAAGGCTTTCAAGGTTTCTTTTAGGTTGGGGACGCTAACTTGGCAGCGAGCCTTTGTTCCTAAGTGTATCAAATGAGGGGATGAGGTCGTTAGTGAAGTCTGTTTTATGCAGTGCAGTGACTGAGAAGTTTGACACACAACTAGGTCGCCCCGCTTAAAAATAAACAACCCCTCGACTGTGGGAGCAAAAGATCCCAACATTTCCCCACAGAGTCCTTCATAACATCAGCAAACTGCGAACAGTATCAGAGCATATCACAGACTGCTCAGATGTCTCAGATACGCAGCTCTTCACTGCGAGTACTCTCAGTAAACTCGTGTCCCATGTTTAAAGCATGTGAAAGGACAGCACTGGCCGTGACCTTTGACCCCTGCAGGCTGTGGGGACATTCCCCAGAGTCGGATGGGGGAACTGAAGGATGTTGACAGTAAGGACTCTTTACCCTGCAGTAGTCGTCGATGAAACGCAGCCGCTTCATGGCCACATCTCGCACATGACTCCTCCGGAACAGGATTTTGCCTGGAGGGGAGGAGAAGAAGAAAAAAATCAAAATGCGGGAGGAGGCGAGGAGGTGGAGGACAGTGTGATAGATGGAAAAGAAAAGGAGGTAACAGATAGAGAAGTGAATATATCATTCACATGCATACAGTCCTCCCTAAAAAAACATCAACTTTAATTTTGTGGTGCTTCATGTAATACCCTAACCAACCAGGAGATGTCAGTAATGTACGGTGGTGATCCTTCACGGCCAAAGCAATCTCAGTCCCACACTCAAGGCCCCAGCTGTCCCCCTATGGATCCCATGACCTCTGCCTGTGACATATCTTTCCAAACAACAAATAGGATTTATACACACATGGGTCACGCATTTCAGGCCCTCCTCTCATCCCATTCAGGGGGAGCATTAAAGTCACGCCACCAAGGACCCCGACCGCACAATCACCATGTACTGCATGCACTGCATCCCGTTTCAGGAGTGTAAAGCAATGACAGTGCGTCGTGCATAATCAGCTCATTTGGAGGTACTATTTAAAGAGCTGTACTTATGACTGCGATATGACTAAGAGTAAACATAGTATGTAGAATATAACAGAGAAGGCAATGTCTTCAAGTAAACATGCTATCAGCTTTCAGAGCATTAGCATTAGTGGTCCTCATTATGTACTCACTCACTTTTCAATGAAGACATACTGCAGAGTGAAGGTGAGACAAAACAGAAATGTATTGGTGGTAACTGTAGTTTTATTGGGAGGGCAGCTGTCAACAACAGCGAATTTTTACCATCGAGTTTTTAAACTAGGGCTGCAACTAAGGTTAATTTTTATTGTTGATTAACTAGATAATTAGATCTCAATTAATGGATTCATCATTTCGTCTACCAAATGTAACTGCCCATCCTAAATTCATGAAGCCAAAGCTGACATGTTCAAACTGCTTGTTTTGCCCAACCAACAATCCAAAACCCAAGATATTCCACTTACAATTGTGGAACAGACGAAGAAAACCAGCAAATATTTATTCATTTTTCATTCAATTTTGGGGTATTTCGCTTTGAAAAAAATTGTTGGTGATTAATTGTCTGTCGTTTCAGCTCCATATAAAATTCTTCATTACATTCGCTACATGATCTCTCATACCCTATCTTTTGGAGTTTAGGTTGTAATGTACATTGATATCAGGTACTTGGAGCTATGGATGGCCCGCGTACAAGCAGTTAAAGGTAGATATGTGGAGTTCATTGTCACTGAGGGGTGGGATGGATTATGTTTTTGGTTTTCCTTCTTGTTGCTACTACTTCCCCACCACTGTTACACGTCATAAAACAAATGTTGATGAAAAATGTGTTCCCTAAAACAAAAAATACATTGCTTCAGTTTTATTGATACCTGAGTTTTGTTACAAATAATTTAGTTTAATAAAGGTAGCCATACATCGATAATTAAAGTTGCTGTACAAAAGTTTTTGGCTAAATAAAATAAAATAAAATAAGCTAGAAT